TTCCAACGGAAAAACTATATTGTGAGATGAAAGAACTATCCACTTCCTTTTAGTCATAGCATAGAATTTACATAAATAAATAGCTGCACATTTTTAAATGTTGTTTTTGAATTTATTTATTTTCGAATAATAATGTTGGAACAGTTTGTTAACAGCAATTTTATTTACAGAATGAACTTGAAAAGTGTCCAGTCGATACCAGAGTAAAATTAGTAAAACATTCAGTGTTTTATGGTAACCGAAGAAGGTAATCAGTTGCAGACAGGGGTGGAAAGGTGATGGGTGATTGGGTTAACTACTTACGTTCTTTGTTTCTCATTAATCACCAATTCATCAGTTTTTTTACATATTTCCGTCGTTAACCCATACCGGTGAGCATTTATGAAAAATGCGTTGTATTGGGAAGACTTGGAAACCCAGCTTGTTTGTCATGCTGAGTCCCTAACTGCAGGATTGCTATTTTTCCATTCCGTAAAATTTCTGCTCGACTGAATAATGCACCCCATTGCGACTGTTATGCAATGCTTTCGGTGCTTCATTGCCATATGAGTCCATTGTGAATTGCAAAATGGAACCCACGCAAAACAACATGCCCGACTCGGTGCATTGTTAGCGCGGCGAACATGAGTCCCCTGCTGTATTGAGTTGATAAAGCATTTGGTGATCGGTTTGGCAAACGAAGGGAAGTTGCTTAAGTTGATGGGAAACATCTGGGAAAGCGCTTTCGGCCAAACCCGTTAGACGTGGTTCACTCACGCCGATAAATGTTGAAACAAATAATACCACACCAATCTACTCAAACGTAACATGGAAAAACTATGTTTGAGAAGAATGAACAAAGGGAAAACATCGTTTTGTTGATTTGAAGTGGACCAAACCATAGTCTAGATATCGAAGTTTGAAATATGATATTTCTGCGTATCAGCTCCCACAGTCAAATAATACTCAAGGGCTCATACAAATTGTCGAGCGTTCTTAGTCTTTATCTGGCAGTTGTTGTTTGAGTTACATGCACCGGACGGTATTATATTTTGTATGAATCAACAAATTAATAATGTAGAATAATTAAACAAATAATTATACAAATGTGATCAGATAGTGTCGGTGCGTCCTCCGAGCTTAAAGTGTTATTCACAGACGTTTCGCAGCCAGGTAATGCAACATCATCAGTGCAAAGAAGAGCACAGCGAAACACCAGAATTCGCATCTCGAAGTGTAATCATACCAAATTATTCGCAAATATGAGCAGTGCCAAAGCCGCTTAGCAGCACTTCACAGATTTGCAGGCTTGCAAGGGGATCAGAAGCACTGCGTACTCTTTGTGTTTCTTTATCAACTGAACTCGTGAGTCACACCCCGGACACCTGAACAACGCACCCGATGGCCCAAATTTGAGCGCGTTACCACATGAATATTTATGGTATGAATTTGATTGTTTTAGTTATGTTGGAATTTGCAGACACTCGTGGTTCACGGGATTTTTCCACCAAGTTTCGAATTTACCAGCTAAACAACTAATTGTTCGAAGATAAAAGTATATATAATGGTGATTCGGCTTGGTTCAATGTTTGTCCTGGGGGCTTCACCGCTTGTCTAGGGTGTCGCACTGAACCCATTCCTTAATATATACCGACATTGCCTATTCATTTCTGCCCAAAGTAAATGAACTCGTGAGGTGAATGATTAGAAGTCAGGTTATGAGTTAAGCAAAATAAAACAATCAGCTTTCAGTGCTAAAGAACAATTTATAACAGATTAGACTGGTGGCGAGAGCCGACGAATGTCTGTGAAGAAAAAAGGAAGCGTGAAAAGAGTTAATGTAATTGCGATCGTTATTAGGCTAGGTAATTATGTATATCCATGGGAGCAACTTAAATAATGCAGGGTGATTGGGATTGAGTGAATGCGTGATTGAATGAGAGTTTATGAACCCAAGGTTACGTAAACAGAATGGAAGCGGATGGCCTTATTACGTACTGATCCATGGGTGCAAAATGGGAGGAGGCGGAAACGGATAGCAACCGCCTCGAATGTTCTAAAAGTTTAGATTTCATTTCTCTAGACAAAATTACCGGGACAAACTAAATGGAACTGGGAATTCATTCTGAGAACTTTTACGAACAATTACCAGATATAAAACGATCATAGTACTTTGAGGGTCAGAAATTCAAATCCTGCTTACTTTATATGTTTTCAATACCCAACGTCAACAAGAACGACAAGACAGCTTCCGAAATAGGAATATTCCGAAAGCAACAGGGACATTATCATCACAAAAACCTGACAGAGGCTCTTGAACTGTTACACTAAACCGAGTAAACTAAGCGAATAAAATGAGCCAACTACTTGAGGACATTGCTCAGTTCACATCAAACAACGAAGAGGTTGGACCCCCGGTATACTGAAGAGAATAAATTAAGTGATCAGAAAAATAAAACAAGGTGGCGTAACCATTCCTTCCACCGCGAAAGAATAAGACATGTTGGAACCACAAAACCTCCATTAAAAGAATAATGTAAGCTCCATATAAATAGTGTACTGCAGAGTCTAAATCCACACTGGCAAAGTGGCGAGCCAATCTACTGGAACCAGTCAGAAGAGAAATCAGCAATTTATGTCCAAGAGCCTCCTTTGATTTTGTTGGATATATTTCACCTATCAATTTCACTAATAAGCACATGTTGTCGTTGGATGTAACCTCACTATTCATCACTGTAACACTCCAAGAGGCCATTTAATCCACCGGCAATTATAGAGAATTTGAGAAAGTCTGTTGGATTATCCGTAGATGATCCGACGCGACCTCTCTATCTCTGCAGAAATGGCACATTTTTCTTCAGATCCAATGAAAGGAAACTTTGTTAATTTATATCAAACATATCATAGAACCATTAACACTTCAAGACAATGACAAATCTTGAAACGAGAGACCATCCATGAATTCTTTCTACCAATGTAAACTTTATTTTAGAATGGACTCTATTTAATATATGACCGGTACACTCGTCTGCATCATTTAGATGTGTCATCCAGATGCCGTTTTTAAAGGGTGGATTCTTCTATGGATGTTGAGAGTGCTTCATTTTTCAATCTGTCCATCAAAGTGTCCGCTAATTGTGGTTTCAAAGACGACCCATAGGCATTCTGTCTTTTTTCAGCACAATGCATCATTACATCGAAGGGGCATGCTATATGTGCATAGATAGAGAATAATATATTGAAAACATATTTGAACCGAGCAGGATTTGAATTTCTGACCCTCAAAGTACTATGATCGTTTTATATCTGGTAATTGTTCGTAAAAGTTCTCAGAATGAATTCCCAGTTCCATTTAGTTTGTCCCGGTAATTTTGTCTAGAGAAATGAAATCTAAACTTTTAGAACATTCGAGGCGGTTGCTATCCGTTTCCGCCTCCTCCCATTTTGCACCCATGGATCAGTACGTAATAAGGCCATCCGCTTCCATTCTGTTTACGTAACCTTGGGTTCATAAACTCTCATTCAATCACGCATTCACTCAATCCCAATCACCCGAACGCATACACCTTTTCCACAGGTAAACACGCGAGCAAGTATTACTCCAANCATTTTCGATGCATGCAAAACTGGATTTGGTGGAGTATTCTCGATTAAAGCTAACAGTTAGTCAATCATGTCGCTCTCCAGAGCTACCGAGCTAAAAATAAGACGACAGACTATCGGTAAAGAAGAAAGCTGAACAAACATGAATCGGCAATTTGTTTGGGCTGATTGGAACTGTTATCACATACACGCCTCCCTTGCGCTGGGTTCAAGTTGGCAGAGCCCAGATGGAACGATGGATGTGCAATATCTCTGATGAGAGCAAAACAAGAGTCTTGTGGTTCCGATTTTTTGATCGACCAAACAAACTGAGGATCATCTCTGACAGGGGAGTCTGAAGGATGGTCAGTTGAAATGAAATCTTTGATTTTCTCTCACTACCTGTGTGTTATCTATTATAAAGTGTGTTTGTATACAGCCATTTGATGTTGAACCAAAAACAATAACCTGTTCGCTAAAACCGTATTATCATGATTTTTCAATGGTAAAAGAAGTGATTTTATTAGTCAAAAGAAAAAATAACAACTGTTTAAGATGACTTAGAAGAAATTTTCTCCCTCCATTTTCCTTATTGAACCTGAAATTTGTAATGTTCATCAAGGAATGTATCGCTGTAGTTAACTTCATAGCAATCAGTTAGTGCTGTGGCTTATTTCACTGGCTTAGCATGGCAGGGATTTTGGTATAACGACACTAAGTTTTAGGTTTTTGGGGTCCTGATTACAATAACTTTCTAATTTACCCTAATTTTGTTTATGGTAAGCATGCTACCGTACGGTCGTCCGAAACATAACGTGTTAATTACACGTGGAGTGAAATTCAGAAGTCATTACAACAAATCGTGGAATGCGTATAAACTGAAAGTCATTTTCACAGACAGACGGAGGCTTTTGTAACCTTTTTTCAAGAACGTTTTCTTTTTATCATACCAATGTTACCGTTTAGTCGAAAAATGAGAAAATTATCAGAAAAATTAGAACACCGGTCACTCATACCCCAGGGAACTGTAGGTTCCTACAAAGAGTAAATTTTAAAAAATTATCCATCGCATGATTCTGTGGAAAATTTGGACACAATTACACACAGTTGNCCAAAACTTGGCGTGTATAATTTGACGAACAAACTCTGTTTAAGAGGAGTCAATCAGTGATGGTTTCAAGGTTGGTACTCCGACAAACAATGTTTGTTTGGGATGAGTAATAGCCTTTAAACTGACAGAGAAGATTTGTGATTAGAATTTTGAAGGAACTAAGATGAATCGCGGTAACGTATCGGTGAAGCAAATGTTTGTGACTGACTTGACAACCGAAGGAAAACTATCCATTTCGTCAGTATTTAGCAAAAAAGGAAGTCAAGCAATATCAACAAAATAAATATTCAATGTCGAATAATTACTGGAGACAATGTCAATGACTTACCGGAAATTACTGCAAGGATGTATAATCCACCTTCCTTGCTGTTCCAATCTTTGTTTTTCTCTATCTAGTGCCATCTTTGTCCCAAACAGTTTCATTGCCAACTTATTTCCAGTGGGTTGAAAGAATGAAAAGAACTGTTCCTTCAAATAGGCTGATGCACCCGATCGTTCATTAAATATACCATCACCTTCCAAATCACCCGGTTTCCTGGTGTCAAGCAAATCTCCGGAGCTTACGCTGACAGAAATGTCTTTGGTAAGACGAACCCCGAATTCGCCATCATTTTGCAATAATAAATGAGCTTCTTCCGGATTCTGACCTCTGGCATTATTTCGCAAACCGGATCCATCTGTGGTGCGCTTCGGAAGCACACAGTGGGTAGGATCAGAGCTCAAGCTGCTGAGCGCTCGCTTCGGTGCATCTACTGATGCACCTAAACGCCTTAATCGTAAACTAGCCGCCATTCGTTGAAGTGGACGATTTATTCGTTGTGAAGCTTCCCGCGTCAGACTGCGTATAGATATCCCACGTTGTTTTCGCAATGCGTCGTTTTTTCTAATGTTTGTTGACGGCCCAGATGTTTGGCGTGTGATATATCCATCGACAGCAGCCAACTGACTGTTGGTTGCTTCTGTTCCCATGGTCATGGGGCTGCTGTAAGCATCGTCAAAAGACATGGGCATTCCGAGCAAACTCTTCCGTCTGATAGTGGTTGGACTAAGGGACAGTTGAATACGATAAGTCGGTGCAACATTGATTGAATGACTACTCAATTGGCTTCGCGCTCGAGATCTGGAATTTGGTGTAGTCCGACTGGTACTAGAAGGATCTCGAATTACGTCCCGTCGACCATGAGGAATACGAGATAGAGCACAGTCAGATGCAAAGTGATATAAACATACAGGAATCTCAGTTAACGCAGTACGAGATTGACGTTCACTCGCCGCTACCACCGCATGTGCAGTCGCTTTGACCACTTGTTCGTCGTAATCATACAAATGTCCGTCGCGTTTCATTTGGATTTGCCTAGGTTTGTGTTTCAAATATTCCGAAGATTGAGAAACAAAGGAGCAACTGGTGGTTGGTTCATCTGTTGATTGCAGTCCAAGTAGACTGGCACTTTGAATGCCCTGATATGAGTTAACCGATAGTCTGTGCATTGTAGTTGGTATGTCCAATACTTGCTTAACGCATGTAGCTGAAGAGCGCCGCACTGGATATGGCTCAGTGCTTAAAAACCTGCCGGAAGACATTGCAGTGCACCGGTTTCGAGGGATCATTGTAGAGCTGGAGATTGGTGAACAGTCCACTAGTTCAGATCTACTAGTAGATGGTTGCAGCGAAGTTTGTGAGCTTGCTATAGCATGCATAGGTGCGAGGCGTAAATGAGTATCTACATGTTCGGACATTGATATCGAGGACATTTATAATGTCGCTTGACATATATTTTTATCAGAAACATTTTCCGATAGTTCGCAAGTAAATAATTGACGAACAGTTTATCCTCACTCGCGTATATGTGAGCTGGATGCCCATTGGTGATTAAGCAGGAATTATTCGTCTTCTTATTGGTCGATTCCACAAACCCGTTTACCGATTGTACCTTAACCCATGCAGAACGTTCGATTGGAAACAATCACGGAGGCGATCTTTAAATTACACATGGAAGTAATCTAGAGTAATTACATGCATATCGTTATTAGAGTTGTAGTTCGGTGGAGTCCCTGGAAATAACAGCTTAAAGTTGTAAATAATGAGAACAAAAATTGATAGACAATAATGATCATATTGTGGGGGAATAAAACAAATGAATAAATCTTGATTTCAGGCACAAGTGCCCTGTTTAAAAAAAGCATCACCGATTATGTTTAGTATATAAAAATACAGTTGATCGCTTTCAAATGACACTAATGTATATATATTCATGAGAAACAGAAGCCAATTGATAAAAAGAAAATGGTTTTCTTGCGACAACGCGCTTATAGTTTTCCATATGAAATTCGCTTTGCTTGTTTGATTCCAAAAAATGTTAGCACACTAACGTAACATTCGTTCACGTTGAAGTTCAATTTTTATTTATTTCACTTCCTTTCATTGAATATAGAAAGATACGGTTTTCAGGAATAGGGAAGCCGCCAATCAAAGGGATGCCATCAACACACAGGGGGAAAGTCAGGCGGTGGTGGTGGGATCCGATCACTCGTCTTCCGGGGTGATAATTGGTGACGTTACCACCAGGCCACTACCGCCAACGTGACCCGTTGAAAACTGAACGGGCTGCTTCCACCAAGGAACTGGTCAAATACCACACTGCTGCATTGACTAAATGTCGTAAGGAAGGTTGTTTGGAACCTCGGAGAATTGCATCGACATTGAATAGCCTTTTTAGATATAAAAATTGAAGGGCAGGAAATATTGAACCTGAACACGCAGGCATTCTTGTAATCCAATATCAGATATCACCAGAGCATCGCCACAGTATCATTTATGATGGTATCCAGGAAACATAAGATAATGTCGTTGGTAGTTTGTGGTCAACCATCTTTACTCTGGCGTATCATTGAGCTGAAAATATCTCTTTGGTTGCCTAATAAAACTAGTTTTGGAAATAGACAGAACTATAGTCGAAGAGAAGTGAAAATAAATCCTTGATACCAAGTGCCTGATTGCCCCATTGATGCAGTGACAACGGGTTTGTAAAACTACTTGAGCTGTGCCATATTATGTGGTACTGAAAAATAATGCGCACCAAATAGTCATGTGCTAATGACCAACAGAACAACCAAATATTTAAGCAATACGTTTCGAAATTTAATAATGACCAAATAAATATGCTAAGAGATAGATGATAGATCCCGGCATACATAATAGGGGAGTTAATGAAATTGTATCTGCGTTTTACCCCGATAAGTTCCAAAGTGATGTGGTTTCAGGCATCTATCATGATGCTGCTTAATGTAACATTGTTTACAGAAAATCTATTTAAAGCAGCTCATGGTGAAACAATATTGCGACAAAACACTCAAATTCGTCAACTTGGTTACGGTGGTTTGTTTGATGACGAATAATAGCATTCTCACCGGAAATGGGAAAGAACCTCATTGTACGATTATCCATAGTTGTAGAAAATATACAAAACGCATATAAGACGACTGATGAAATTATAAAACAGACTAGCTAATTCGTCTGTACTGCGGGAGACTTAAAAAGAGAAATGCGGCGTTCAAAACTGACATTATTCAAATCATCTCGAGTGTTTAAGATTCAACCAGCCAAATGACCTTCAAATATTACGCTATCATGAGCTAGTTCACAAATGTTTGCACCATTTGGCTAAATTATCCATGCCTAACTAGTTCTACTCGGCTTATACAATCAGCGCCTAGTTTCACTAATTATCTATCAGTGTACCGAAATAACAGGTGGGCATCGAGATCGAGATTCACGGAGAGAAAATCTGTGTTTCTTTCTGATTAAATTCTAACCAATTGATAGACGATATTTCGCAATGTTATTCCATTGCTTACTGCCCAAACTAGACTGACCAGTTAGTGAAACTGAAGTAGCGTTGGATGGGCAAATGTTTTCAGATTGAATCCCCAGTTTCAGAACTGTCCATTAGCTATGACGGTGAACGAAGTTGTTACTCTATTTGTTAGATCTTGCTCATAATCAATAAATGACTGCTAACCGTGATGAGCAGATTTTTGGATTTTAAACCATAAATGAGTATAACAAGGTAAAAACAAGTGTTAAAATATCTAATTGGGAAAATCTCTAAACCGGAATAAACCCATGGAGGAGGACCAAAGACTTATCAAAAAATGACAAGGGAACTACGAAACAGCCGGGAAAAACAAAATAAAACATCGTCCCATTGTAGAGAATTATATCTTTATGGCAAAATGTTACCAATCAATAAAAAAACACAAAATAGGGAATAAAAATATTCGAATTTTGAGAACGAAATACAACAGAGATAATTACTCGTGTCTGTGACAGTTATTCATAGCAGTGATAAAGAAACCTGGGTCACTTCTGATCTAGGTTGTGATGAATCAATTTGAATTCATCATTTCTACCTGCTTTATTAATCCAGAACTCTTTACCTATTCTGGAGTTTCCTGTTGTCTTTCAATATATATGTTTATATATATGTGCATTTTCAATCGGAATGGTCAATGAAGAGAAGTGTCTAATAAGCCGTAGTTTCAGTCACTTGTATAGCAGTGGAGAAACTCCAAGACGATAGAACAGGAACATTTTTCAGTACATGTTCTACTATCCAAACAATCACAACTCCAAGAGCATTTGATCAGCTCTTTATTCCCCGTTCCACATTATATTCAAAAGTTCTTTGGAGAAAGACATTTAATAATTAACTTAGAGACTATGTAATTTGCAAGTGCATTAGGTGAATATAAATTAAATATAAACATTTTTTTTCGTAATCAACCTGAATAGAGATTACAGTAGGTTTACGTTGCACAATAAATATCCCGATGTATTCCATTGTATCTCCTCAGATGTATACTGCATATCATATGACGTATTTTATCACAGCAAATTGATGATGGTACCGGCAATACAAACCCCGGCCAAGGTAATGAATAGTCCCATTTGGTTACAGAATTACACAGACTGCCAAATGCTTCAGAAAACTGCATTTTACCTGAATCGATGTATGATAGGGTTGCCGAGATCCCAGAATTCCTGATGAATCCATCTATGCTTTGTCTCATGCACATGGTTTGTTATGGAAGAGTCGGGTGACTTTCGGGTCGGTTACCTTTGACCCTTTTTCGTTGATTTACAATAGTGTCCACCCACCGCCAAATATGTTTCATCACTCTCAGTTCAGTTCGGTCTAGGTAGAGGCCCGAGCACCCACATATGTGAACGTGTATGGGAAGTGTGATTTGGCATGATCTCTCAACAGCTGCTTAACTGTTACCCAGATCATATCATAAGTGTTGTTGAATGAACGGTAACACACGTTTGACATAACGTAGTGTGATTAGGCGTGTGTAGGATGTGTGGGATTTTTTAGTTTCAAGCAAGATGTTTCTTTGATGACGAATCGGCAATTGTGGTATGTATCTTCGAGGAGGAAACAGGTTAATTGTTTAGATTGTAGCACATATTATTAACGTCATTCGTGATACATACTGATTTAGTTTTCCCTGAGAGCTAAATGAGTGTGGGCGGTGGTTTCATCCAATGAATGGGTTTGGGTAGATTCAACGAGGGATAGTGTTTTTCTTTAAAAGCATAGGATTCTTTTATTTCGTCTAGTTCAGTGGCAACAATGGGTCGTTGTCCTGCTGCAGCAAACCACATGATCTATTTCTAGGTCATAACAGACTGATTCTGTGGGTTTGAGGAAAAGAAAGCTAATCGCCAGCTTAGCGCTCAATTTGCAAGTGTAACCTGAACCATGTATGATGCCTGTTTGGAGGATTCGTTTCGACAACGAAATGAACTTCTATAAAAGCCCAGATTCACATTTCAGCCTACCTGACATCTCAAAGTGTGATGAACGGAATAGGAATTACACCGATTCATAAAGAGGATCTGCTCATTTAAACCCATTTACACTGGGAACCTAAGCTCTAAGACTTACGTTGTCCACCGAAGAAAGACCCAGTGTATGAACATGGTATTGATCCGTCTGAAAACTAACCGATTCACTACCAGCGTTGAGTGCTCCGGCTGGGCTCGAATACCTAACTTCGTGGCTCAAAATACGCCTATAATTTCTAGAAGAAGCGTATGAGTGTAAACGTTTACAGGACCGGAAATGTGATAAAAAACTTACTGGAAAATGGATCAAGGTCAAAGGGATATTCGAAGAGTACCTCACATTTCCTACCTAATGGGTAACCTATACACAAATTTTGCCGAAAGATAACATTTTATTCTCGTTTGGTGATTCTTCACACTGAATCGTAATAGTCGTATACTGATATTTGGCAAAGTATCAATTTTTCCCCAGTTTGTCTCCTATGGCACATCTAACCACAGACAATAAGAAACAATACCTTGCAACCGGTTTCGGTCAGTTAGCTACTAAATATGGCTCCTGGAAAATGAAGTGTCGTGCGACCCTTATCAACAACATAAAGCCATACAAGAATAGTTCAAACAATTATAAGAGCAG